AAGTGTAATGGCTGTTGCATGTACCTACTTTATCCGTTATATATAAAAAAAAGTATCCGTGTCCTATTGAGTTCAAAAAAATTTTTACGCCTCATGATGTGCAAGTTTGATCGTGTGCGAAACGACCCAGATGAGCAGGAATGTCAGGCAAAGGAAATGACAAATTAACCGGTTGCAACGCCTCTGCGTCCTTTTCTATTCCACGGTGTGTTTGCAAACATCGGTTATTCAAACATATTTCTGTCTAGCGTCTTTTATATATAAATTTATGCTCCATAGATTTGGACGAGATATTTATATATTTACGCGATAGAGATCTATGTAACTGTTGGTATGATGGACTTCAAAAGAAATAGAATTATCTATTAGAGTAAGTATTAAAACGAGGATTCCCTGAATGGAGAAATGACGTAATTTCCTTTTCCACTTAATGATACTAATGTCCGCCGAAATTCCATTCTTTGGGCTCGTTAAAATTACTACAGCGCATCACCTCCCACGATATATCAGTGCAGCGAGCGTGTCTTCCTTACTCATAAAGATCACCTTTTGTAGTGCTATTAGCGCATTACGCTCGCGTCACCTTCACGCTCACGAATGGCATTCTTGTCCCTCGTCATTTCGATCTCATAGAAAACGTCTATTAGCGCGATCCTATTCTACAAACACACAGTGCCTTTGTACGCGGCCAACAACGTGCTTACGGTTCTCAATCATCGTCTTGAATAAGAACCGTAGTTCAGCGGTTGTCTAACGGAATTTGTTTACGCGGTAAGACATCGTTTGTCATTTTATGTCATCGTTGTCTAACATCGACGCTACATACATTTTCCCTTAACATCGCCATTCAATGGACTCTACGTTTTCGCAAGGACCGCATAATTTATAGTCTGCGACAATTAATTTTAACGGTCTTACCTTTTAATTTAATTCGAAAGATTTAAAATCGCGTAATTTTACGTTTCATTATTCTTACCGTCCGCTCGGCTATGTCAGTGTAATATGTACACGAGCTCCACAATGCAGAGCCGATGAACCGCTCCGGCGCGTCCGGCTAACTGCTCGGCTAACCGACTCGACTGGTTAACTACTCGGTTAGCGATTTAACCACCGCACTGCTAATCACTCATTCGGTTAACCGCTCCAGCCGCGGCTACAAACGGGGACGCGCGCGGAATTTCGATCGCATACACGCGCGCGCTCATTCGCGCTGGTTTGTTCATTCGCACAGGGGAACGCACGCGGAAGAGCCGAGTTAGGAAGCTGCGGAAGTAGCCCCGCATTCGCCAGAATGTTCGGCATTCTAATGAGGAAAGCGGCGTTTACCAGCGCCGCCTTATGTTTCGTTCATTGCATGCGCAGCGTTGATTGTTGCTATTGCATTGCCGTGCGTGGTGATAAGTCGCGTGCCTTTCTATCTTTGAGCTCAAAGAGCTTAAACAGATTAACGATCGTTCTGGGTAAAAACATATACTACGTGAAGTTCCTATCATATTATCTACTAAAAAAAACTAAAATAAAAAGAGGCGACAATTTCATAAATCCACGAGATAAAATAATGTATTAAAATAGTTGTATTTTCGCGACTTTTGTTTTATTATTATTATTATACTATAAATAAATTTGCATAAAGATAAAAAGTTCTACGCCTGTTGACAAATATCTCCTACATGACTACATGGGAAGATTAGTTTTGCTGAAGTATCTAAAAATTTAGCTAGATACAGATCTCTGAAAATAATTTTCTTGAACTGTAAAAATAATTATGCTCAAGAGCTGATTGCTAGACTTTTTGCATTGCTCATCACGCTTGAGTTTCCAACATAATCTGTTGATCCAAAATTGTTTTCGGATTTGTATCTAGCTAAGTTTTTAAATACTTCAGCAAAATCTTCTTTACATGTAAAGTCACTGTGCAGTGCACAGGATACCATACTCGCGCTTTTCATCTATGCCGAAAGACGCTATTGTGGAATTCCTTTCATCATATTACTCTTCCAATTACATCGCGATTATTTGCGCGAACGACAACACGGACCTAATAAACGCAAGTCAATAAGCCGGCAGCTAGTATTGCCTGTGCATGGATCTGAATGGGCGTTATGCTTCACAGTAATGCTGAATTACTATCTCAGCCTGGCCACGTGATTAACATCTTGGAGGCCCGCAGTAACAATTAGAGAAACCTCGAAGAGATCTACCGGTTTAGGTCGATGACAAACAAGGTACGAGAAAACGAGAAAGAGAGACAGAGAGAGGGGGGGGGGAAGATTACGTCGCAGCGCGATATTTCACGTCACTTCCGGTTACAAACCTCCTCTCCAGGTGGGTTATGAGATGCTATTTGGTAGAAGAGAGACGCGCGCGGACGAGAAGAGCGGCACCCACCGAGAATTAATTTGAATTGGATTACCATGAATATTGTCGGCGCTCGGCGAGAGCAGACGCGTTCCCATCGCAAACTAAACGCTTCGAAAAGTCCGCACTCTTTGGCGCCAGCTATCAATTTGTGAACACTCGTGAAAAGTTAAATTTTTTGACAAGACGGGATTTATTTATAGCACGGCACTGTATGTGTTATATAAATATTTTTTTTTGCATATATAAATTAATCTTGATGATTTCTAACATTAACATCAGATTTTAACAATTGAGTCACGAAATATTAGCATACATATTTCTTTTTCGTTTTTCAAGTTTAACAAAATTCTTAAAGGAAAAATTCAAGAAGCATAGCATTCATTCAATTTGCGCCGTGATAAAAAAGTTCATTTTTCCACGAAGAGAAAAAGCTTGATGATTAAAATTTTATAAAACTAATCCGCTTTACAGTATCTGTACGTTTGTATTCCACCTACCAAATAAAATGAAATAAAGTCCATTGAACTGATTGAATTAATTCTGAAGACACAACACACACACAACTCCAGGAATTCGATGAATTCTTGAAAAGATACTTTTAGACAGCACCAAATGCGGTGCGTTCTTTTGACGCGAACTTCCTATCATTAGTACCGGACAATACTCGTCAGGTCCGCAAGTAGGACTAAGGAATTCGATAGTCCCTATTTTTAACAAATGCAACTTTTCGCGGCTATATTTTTTCGTGGCTTCCGCTTTTGCGAAAAGCGCCGTGAATTATCCCGGAAAGACTTACCGCAATACGGGTATCATTGTCGCCCATGTCTTTGAAATCTATTGTGCACGAATTCAAAAGTTCGCCAATTTGCGTCTTGGTCTTCGATAAAGAAAACTTGAAAGGTATATACGATGCTTCGAGACATAGTATTTTAAGTCGCTGATAAATAAAACGTCTTTATTTCGTAGGATAATTTTATCTTGTATATTCCTACATCTTCTTTCTCGTTTCTCCTAACCACACATTGATAATGACGACGATGATGATAATGAATTGCACGAGGGAGCAGGGAAAAATCTCAGTAGCGCTTCGTCGTATTTAATTACTTATATGTGTAGTTAACGTCGTACGCTTTCGCATCTCCGCAATAATGCAACGCGGGGACGGCCAAACAGCATCTGACACTTTATGAAAATCAGGAAATCGTGAGCGACGGCTAGAAATAATATCGCGCCGCGTGACAGCGACAAATACGATGCAAAGTCTCTCAAAACTATTGCTTACGTCACGATCAAATTTTACTAGATATTTTTCTTACAAAGTTTCTAACAAAAGTTTCTTTTTTTTTTTTTAAAGAAACATTGATTTAATTTTAGTAACAAATTTAGTAGCAAATGAGATAATTATAAACGTAAATTTAATCGTATTGAGAGAAAGAGAGAGAGAGAGAGAGAGAGAGAGGAGGGAGGGAGGAAGAAGAAAATTGTTTTTCGGAATAATTGAGTGGAAAATTATAAATAGAAGACAAGAGAAAGATTTCAGAAATTGCAAAATCTGGAAGACAACGATTAAAAAAGATTGTTGAATAATTGAGTGCGCGTCTCTTGAAAAAAAGACACCAAACATCCCAGCAATTTCCTCTTGCGGCCTTGCGAACGCCCTCTCGTTCTTCACTCTATCTTCATCTAATCACTTTTGCTTTCGTCAACGCTTCGCCGCGGGCTAAACGACAGGCGTTGATGGAGCTCGGCGTTGGTGAGGAGAAAGAAACGTGATAGGTCTGAAGGACCGAGCAGCGCTAAAAAAAGGAACGGGAAAAAGAGAGATAGAGAGAAGTGGAAGAGATCGAATCCCTATTCGGCAAACAGAGTGAGAAGGCAAAGATAGAGCGAGGGTAGAAGGTTCCTGCACCCTGCGGCGATTGCAAAGTTTTGCGGAAATGCACCCTCACGAGGAATTTCTGGAGGAGCTCTTGGATCGTCGCGGCGCCACGGGAATTGCATAAAATAGGGAGACAGGGGGTACTTCTATTGTGATTGATACGAGGGCGCAGTCTTGATTCGTTGCAAGTTCGTATCGGCGAATTAAAAATGTAAAAAGGCCGTCTTTTCGCTTAATTTTAGTGCATTGGACGACAGCGAGCTGGCTCTCGAATAAAGCCACGACTCAATCGAGTCTTCTCGCAAGAGATATACAAGAGTCTCACCGGGCGACTCGTTAGAGTAAAATTCTTGTACATGAGGGTTATCTCCCTTCACGACGTTCTGCGGAATGTCTTTTAAGGGCACGAGTGACAAAGGGGCGCGAACGATGAAACGTTCTCGAAAGAGGCTGTAAACTTAAAACCCGTAACAATGATCCCGCATATGTCTATATATACAATACAAGGGTTTATGTACAGAGTGACTATGTTTTTTTTCTTCGAATAAAAATTGTGTATTTGTAGCGAATGAAGTTTTCAAGAAAATATGCAATTAAAATAATTATAATTTGAATTCTTTGCTAACTTTGTTTGAACAGAGCATTTTTTTGCTATATACATATATATTTTACATATGTACGTATGAATATGCGATGTTTGCCCTTGGCTATGAACGGATGTGGCATGCATTGAAAACTGAGTTAATTAAATGAATCTTACGTAACAATGGACGATGGACAGTAGCTCGAAGCCAACAAAGTGTTAATCATGACCCCGATTGCGCACTTCTTGATAAAAATGCGAGGTTGCGTTCCGTTTTGTTGCTATATCGGATCTGAAACATAGATACAAACAAGTTAGTTGAAAGCGCAAATATTAAACCGCAATATATATGTATATATTTTCCATATACATATATTGGAACAAAAGTTTGTGCCGATACAAATTTCAAAATTCAAGCAGCTGGAACTTCGTTAAAAATGAAGGAAATTTAAATTAAAAAGTTTTAAAATTTTAAATCTTTACTTTCAAAAGGTCACTATATCTTTTGAGTTTCTGTGAGTTTGGTAATTTTTGCATACAGAAAATTACGAATTAAATAAAATGCAAAAATTTGGTTCTCATTTTGTGTGCTTGTCATGTGTACAAAAAAAACTTGGGGAAATTTTCGACTTTCTAAAGCTTAAAGCTTTCCCTACAAAATTGTTAAAAAAATGTTTTTAAGATTTTTTGTTACTGAGTTATCACGGATTAAATAAAAGGAGTATTTTCAGATTTATATCCAGCTTAATTTTAGATACTTTAGAGAAAAATTATTTTTTCCGTTTACGTTCAATTTTCTTATCATAAATAAGTCCGATTTATTATAGTCTGTTAGTTTACGAAATACTTATGTTTTTGCTTTTTGAAATATGTACTGTAACATGCTTCACTATTATAAAAAGCAATTATAGCAATTATACGTATCTTTGACATTCTTAGGTCCTTCTGGTTAAGAATTAAAGATTCTTAGCTCGTTAGTTTTGGTCTGGAGTTTCAGCACGAAAGCTTAATAAATACATTTTTCGGAAGTTCGTCGTGCAATATATCAACTTTACAATCACTATGGACATTATTGTCCTTATACATCACCCGTAATTATGTTGTTAAACTTTGTGCTATCGTATCCATAGCATACCTTGTATCACTAACGCGCTTATCGAAAGTTCGGCCACTAACTATGAGGTTCGTTAATGAAATTTATCCAGTCTTGCGATGAATTGACAACAGAGCTCGCGACTCCTCCGATGGGGAATTGTAAAATCTAATGTAAAATTGCAAACCACAATTACGACATAAACGACTATCATGCGATATTTGCAGAGGACAAATGTTCACGAGCACGTTGGAATCGAGTTGGAAAAACAAACTACACAATTTTTCACTTGAGTACGATGTAACCAACACGAGTGTATTTATGAAACCTTTTTACCATGTAACATGATTAAAGCACGTTTATAAGCTAAAATTGTAGTTCCACTTATTACGCGACCGACGCAAATAATTTTGGCTTTGTGAGCAAGGCGAGTAATTTATTGATAGACATCGCGACGTTGATAAGGCGATACTGTGCGATTAAATAACGAGCGGGGCCTCTGCCTAAAGCCCCACCAATTTATCCGTTCAACTCTCTAGTTTGACAACATATTTGACTGACAAAGATGTTTTGGGGGTCACAAGTACAGACCAAGTAACAACAATGTTTGTATTCGTCGAATAATCTAAATAAACAGATCGAAGCTTTGACATTTCCTTTGTTTTTTTGACGATTGTTGTTAGTGTATTTGAAGCTAGAAATAAAATTTTCAAAAAAAAGCAAACCGTTCTTTTGTCCAATTAAGAGAACAAATGAGAATACAGAATATATATACATTTTTTAGATTTATAATTTTATATTAAATTTTACAATTTTTGTTTTTAATAACAGCTTTCTCTCTAGTTTTGAATATTAGATCACACATTATAAAAAAATATGTAAAATTAAATAAATAATTGTATTGTATAATATGTAAAAATTACACATTTTATAGTAGAAATGTATAAAATTGTGCGTTATAAAAATTATTATTTTTAGCTATAATTGCATGAATAATATTTCTTTATATTAAACGGAAAAATACAATAACAAGTATATTTTATAATTTCTATGTAAATATAAAAATTTTTATATTATATAATAATATTATTATATAATTTAATAATAATATATCGCACATATTATGTTTACATTTTTACGTTTGTACATACCAATAATAAACATTAAGAAAAATTATATTCATTGGCAAATTAATATGTACATATTTCTATAAACGTATCTTTAATTGTGCAAACTTACTTCTGCAAATTGTTTAATTACTATAAAGAATAATTTATTTATAAAAATGAATTATAACTTTATTCATGTGTGTGATTATACAAACACTTTTAATAATGAGTTCCAAAATTACTGACTATATAATTGTTGTAATGTCACATGTAATTTTTTATAGTGCACAAGAGAGTATTGTCTTTTTAGTAAACGAAAATAGCAAATTAAATTTTCAATATATTGTTTAATTTTATTATCATAAGTAAATTCGATTTGTTATAGTCTATCAGTTTGCGAATAAAATATCTGTGTTTACGCGAGAAATGACAATACGCGCTGTAGAGAACGTTTATCGATTTCCCTACCTACGTGTACCATCATACGCATTTGTATTCGATTCATGCGCTCATTGCGGTATCGTCTACACATGCACGCCCGACCGGAACACTTTATCGAATTCGTTAGCATTAAAAGTATCGAGACAAACGTAAAAACTGAATATCTCGTTAATTCTACAGTTAATGCCAGAATCACAATCAACTAACAGGACGCTGAGTTTCGTCCATTTTACAGAAGTAAAATATATTCTGATGTTATATCAGATATTGAAATTATTTTGACCAAATTCGGATAATAGAATTGTTATATTTTGAGCATTTAATTCTATACTTTTATGTTCACTTCGTGGTACACCCCGTATATATACTCGAAATCCCTCGACACACGCACACATGCGCATAGTGTGTTCTTCGTGGGATACAAACACATATTCCAGCTGCTCGCGCGAGACGTGGGAAGCCGTATGTGCATTGAACATTGATTTTAAGCGTATATCGGTGCACGAACGCGGCAGTAAAAATGTGCGGGGATTTGCACGAGGGCGCCGTCTTACTTTTAATGGGAAAAATCGTAGAAGGCACGAAGGCGGCGAGCAACGGGCTAGAAGACGGATGTGGGAAAGATTTCACGACTATCGAGACTCGATGGACCGACCGATGGAGCTTGCTGCCTTGTGCGGACATTGGCGTAGCACGGGTTTCCGTATTTTTCTTCGTGGTCCATTTCGCACGTGTTCCGTTTTACACGAGCGAATAGTGGATTACACTTTTATCTCTTTCACCAGTAAAGTGATTCTTTAACGTCAACGATACCTCGAAAGCACGTGTCAGTTCGTTGTAACGTTTTAAACGTGTTGTAGAAGCAATTTTCTTTTTTTTCCACGCAATTTTAATTTCTGTGATTGTTCATAACGAAACAATAGAATAGAAATAAACGGTTTTAATATTACCACTCTTTTTTTCAATTTCATAATCCTTTCATAAAAAAGGAACATTTGTTTACATAACAATTTATTATTGTCTCATATTGCGATAGAAATTATTAATTTGTACAAGAGAAGGATGCGTGAAATATTTATTAACGGGTAAAAAAAACCACAGAAAATGGACGTATACTGTGTTGGTTTATCTCTTCTGGCGCATCTATCGGGGAAACGTTCAAACCCCCGCGAAGCGTAATTTAGTTAAAGGGTGTAAGCGCATAACTTTCGTAAAACACACCAACTGTATTATTCAAGGCAGCGATAACACGTGGTGGCTAACAAACGACCGTCCGTACCTTCCTGGCAATTTAAGGGGTCAAAAAAATACACTGAACCCTATGTTCATACGCTATTTCCAAGGGTACGCTACCCGTTTCGGATATTTGCGTTTGCAACATTTATAACGTAGTGGAATTTGGAATTTTGCAAAAGCTCCCCGTGAACTTGTGCAGGATGGTATACACGTTGCACCATCAATTATTCATAAATCAATTACGTAAGAGCTATAATTAACTTATAAAGTCATTAAAAAAATTTCTAAAAATGCGAGAGAGCAAACCTTTTAAAAATGTACATACAAATTAAAAGCATTGATAAAAAAAAAATAAAATTACAGAGAACAATAAGAACATGATAAACATAAAAATAAAAAATAATAAAGTGGCGAAAAAAAATAAAGAAATGAAGGCATAAAAATTAAATTAAATCAAATTTATAAAGATAAACAAGAAAATGGAGATGCAAGCACAATGAGAGAAAAAGAGAGAGGAGAGGGGGGAGGAGAAGTTTTATTTAATGGAGAATATTTTATTTTCCGTTTATAAATTCTTTGTCGAATAAAAAGAATTTTTTTTCTGTACTTTCTTAAATATTATAATATCAAAAGAATGAGATCTCTTCTTAAATCTATGATTTCGGAGCACACAACGCTTTTCCCGTCAACTGTTCTATTTTATATTTATGCAATTGAATCGCACAGTTGAGATAACATAGTCCCTTCGCACGAGTGCCGAGTACTCTCGCTTAATTTTATGTCGCACGTGACACGTAGCGCCGAAACGACATCCCGCGCATTCTTTGGTTATTTAAGGGGTCAAAGTACATATCTCACCGCGGCTCTTCACATGCGCACGTGCATACATCACGCTCTTCTCCAAAATTATTTTACGCTCGTATCTCGTAGGTGCTTCCTATTTGTGATCACATTATCTTCGAATTACTCTTACAGAACTCCTACCATCGCGCACTGCCATCTCTCGACTAACTCAATTTTCGGATCGGCACGATATATCATCTCAATTTAATTATTTATCGATACATAGTCCTACGGGATTATCGGGTACCTAATTATTAAAGTTACTATCCGAATTAATGTCGCTTTGCGTAAGTCACTATAATAATCACAAATTAAAAAAAAATTAGATATCTTATATTACTGTTTCAAATTCAAATTTTTCCTTCCAAACTTCTTTATTTCCTACATTTACTTGCTATATTAAGTTTCACATTCATATTATTTAGAATTCTCAAGTTAATGAATATTTTCCAAGTTAACCCGTTTCTCTTTATTATTTAAAGAGTTAAAGTTTATGTCGCGTCGTGTCTTCAGCGCGCTACGTGCATACACTATTGCGTAGATATGGTGCTCCAAAGTTATTTTGCGAGATAGGCTCTATTTCCCACTCTTATGTATATATACTATTTCTCTGTGTGCGAGTTTGGCTCGCGAGCGCAATGGGGAGTCATATGGACGAGGGATGAGAGTGAGAAAGAGGAATAAAGAAAGACAGAACAAGATAGATGGGATAGAAAGAGGGGCAGAAGTACACCGTGTCTCACAAATTTTCATTATATGAAAATTTTCATTATATCTTAACAAAATTTCCAACTTGTAAATATTGAGATATTTTTGAACAATTAGTGGACTATTGGACCAGCGCCTATTCCTTCTTCTATTTCTTTTTATTGTACTTTCAAGTTAGGGAATCGTGATATTCAAATTTTGTTTCATTACATATTGTGGATTTATGGATTCTCATTTATGGATTTTTCTCAAGATTGTAATTTAGAATTTGACTTTTATTCAAGTGTAATACAATCATTATATTAATTATGGAAAAATATTTTAAGGAACTAAAATTTGAATTAAATATTTATGAAAAAGGATGTAGAATACAATATAAACGTGTATTACGAGACGGGATTAATTTTAACGTATTATAATACGATATATTTACGCTAGAATAGTTAATTACAAAATAAGATAGTAAACGTAATGTTGAAATTTAAGCTTATGGAAGGTATTTTGCGGACATCTTGTATACGAGATGAAAGATATAGAGGTACAACTGCCTGATAGTTGCATGTAGAAGGAAGTATACTGGGATGGACCGACGACGTAATATTGGCAGTCCGAATGGTAATCGATATCGCATATATCTCCACCGATGTATATTCAAC